CATCATCTGAGAGTGCTGCTCTAGTTTTTGAGTTAACATAAACTATTAATAAGGCGAGCACGTTTTTATTTTTATGACTTGGCAACACCACTAATAATAACCTTTATGTCATTAATAAACACAAATGTGATGGATCACTTCTGGATCCCAGACTAACAACTAACTTTAAGTTTGAACATGCGCACTCACCTTTTTGAGGCATTCTGCTCCACCGCCTGAGCCCTTCCGAGCAAACTGGTGAAACTGGGAAATAAACAACTGGTCTCCAATAGTAATTTCTTCTCAGAATATATGTTTTTTCCAGCGTTGCTCTATCTGGAAGGAAATTCCCTGCGAAGGAGACACAGATTGACAGTGAGCGGAGATGTCAGGACTGCTCAGGGACTGAGAGTGTGTGTGTGCTCGCATGTGAAGTGAGTGAGTGAGAGAGAATGAGAAAGTGAAGGCACATGCAGTGAGAGAGAGAGAGCGCGCGCGAAAGAGAGAGGCAGTGTTGAACACACCTATTCTGATTGGTGATAGTACTGATGTATTTAGTCGGTCTGTCCCCGCTTGCAGCGCTTTACCGGCCCATTAGAGAAGCACTGACCCTCTACCATCACAGAACAGAAAACAGGCCACTTTTGAACCAACTAATCAGTCCGCGCATGCAAATGCTGTGCGCCCCCTCTCAAACTCACTCAATATTGCTTTACGCAATTGGTGCAGGATTGCCTCAGTCTGTTTCTGTTAGATGCACTGCTTAAATCTCACCACTGGGCTTGAGTTCACTCAGAAAAAAAGCATTTTAGTGTTTTGTAGTTTTTAGCTCTTTTGTCTTATGTGTTTTCACATTGCAATTTGGCCTGAAAAGTGTGATTAATATCTAAGGTCACGTTTTACAGTACGCTACTTACATAAGTAGCTATATTGAATAATGCAAATTATATTTGAATGAAATGAAATTGCTTTTACATTTTGTTGTTATTTTTTACTATAGATTGTAAAATAAATAAATATATATATATATATATATATATATATATATATATATATATATATATATATATATATATATATATATATTTCGAAGTTGTAAATCAAACCGATTACTCGAGTAGGTTTTACAAGAAATACTACTTAAGTTTTTCAATTTAAAACTTTCACGTTTAGCTCAATGTTACTTGCCGTTTTTTTAATTGAAATGTACTTACAGTTTCTGAGTGAAAATGGTTTCTACACAATTTTTTCTCGGCCTACTTTATTATCTGAACATGTGATAGATATGTGTAACATGGACACTGTTGTAAAATGTTACAGCAATTCTCCCACGAAAATCTGATTTTTAAAAAAATCTATTTTAATTTTTTTACTGAATATTCCTGAGTGATTGTTTGCTGAGAGGTCCTGAGAGATCTGGCCCTCCGTGACACTGATACAAAACGCAACCTGTTGACAGCTATCAATTCAAAAGGAGAACATGTTTGCTCTGTGCATTAAGTGCACTTGCAAATGGTCCCTGGTGCAACTGGCTAAAACAAACGCAAACACTCTCCACGTGCTTTTGTTGACACTCACGCGCTTTTGCACCGTATCTGCGCGTGGAGGTGACCTCCGTGTCCACGTGGCCGGATTTTTTCACCCTAATTTCACTGTTCACTAATTTTACAGCTTGTTCCTACGAGTCGCAAACAGTGAAGGCCTGCAGCAGTAGGCTACTTTCTGTTTGCAACAGTAGGGGTGTGAGATTTTAAAGCGCAAATAAAATAAAATCATGAGGAATTTACAGGTCCCTTGGGTAAATTAGCTCAAGAAGGATAGTAGGCCTACATATTACGTTTTGATTTTAGCAAATGTAACTTCTAGTTGCTAAGCCACCATGTAGAAGTCTATCGACAAAACATTATGTAACTCGGTGTTATTTGTATCTCAAACTTACTATACTATTCCCATATGTATATGCCTAAACTGTACAAATTAATGTCGAGTAGGTGCATTAATCTATCTATCTATCTATCTATCTATCTATCTATCTATCTATCTATCTATCTATCTATCTATCTATCTATCTATCTATCTATCTATCTATCTATCTATCTGAGCACCATGAGGCCCGTCTCGCATATTCGCACATTGCACACCCGAAAGCAACCCTTCCGCGCCTGCATGTACTCGGTGTACAATCGTAGCTTGAGTAGCGAGTGGGATTTTTTTTTTAAAGACACGGTAATCATTGCATTCACTTTCCCCGACGTATGCAAAGTTAGGAAATAGTCAAAGCTCATCAATAAACTATCTAGGAGGTGAATGAGAGACCCTGAGAACTATTGCGACAAACGACACCGCCGAGGAGTAAAAAGAAGCCTTAATGGAAACGGATAATAAACAGCTCTGTCCCTGTATGGGCCCTGCAGAGGTTCTGTCTTTTTTTACTCCCCCGAATGTTTCCACAATTAGCTCTTCTTATTTGTGTTTTGGATTAATTTTTGAATGTCATAAACCACATAAACATGCACATACACACACACACACACACACAAAGAATGCCCTAAGCTTTGTAATTGTGCCATAGCTGTTGATTCCTCCTTTAGATAACTTGTAAATCCTCTCCGTGTTAATGAGGTGTATTTAGGATGTGGTCTAATTCAGGGGGCATCACCCTCCAGGCCATACAAACCCATACATCACACGAACCCTGCAGATACCAATTTTACACACAAAGCAATTAGCCCAATTGGGATTAGTAACTGCTAATGCGAAATCGTGAAAAGTAATCCCTAATCTCGTAGCTGTTTCGCTCTTGGGCAAAGTGGTCACTGTGTCTTCTGAAAACTTTTTAGAAAAGGTGAACGAGGGGAGGGAATGGGACTGATGTCATACTTCAGAAGAACACGAACAAAAGAGTGAATCAATAAAAATAGGGAGAAAAACACCCCCCAAATCAGTAAAGTTCTGAGGCCAAAGAAGTTTACGCACCAATTTCATTTTTTTTTACTTAATCTTTTTCATGTAATACTTATTTATATTATTTACTCTATTATTTATTTTTGATAATAATTACAAAATGAGTTAATATGAAACAATAGAAAACGCCAAACCTAAAATTATTATTATTATTAAGAAGAAGAAGAATGTTCAAACAAATTAGTAATTTTAATTGCTTTGAGAAAATGGAGACACCATTTTGACATTTCTACATTTCTTCTTTCACTTACTGAATTTCGTTCATTTGCGTTCCAAAGCAAAAGTCAAAGCAAAACAGTTTTTAAAAGCGAAATATGTTTTTAATCTAATAAAAAAATATTTTAAAAATATATATATTTTAAGGTGATGTAATTTTTTAACTTGTACCTGCATTTATGAATTGACATAATTCATTACATTTTATGAAAATGTAGCTTATAACATTCCAAATGCAGATTCATGTCTAACTTTGTCTATATTTGACATAAATGTAATTAATGAAATATCTTATGGCTACTTAAGTATGCTAAGATTTGTGGGATAAGAGAGGAGAAATACTAAGATAAAAAAATAATATAAACAAACATGATAGTCCTGTCCAAACTATAGCTTCACTAGAAATTAAGAGCCAAACTAAATATTGTGTAAATACGTGAATGTATCACTTGTATCTTTTAGTTGGTTTGTGATATAGATAATTACTGTTTTGTAACAGCTTTTCAAATAAAACCTTCATAGTGAAATTGCAAAGTGCACATTTTAGACGCAATCAAACGTATTTTCCTAATGAAGACAGACCGTGCATTTGCTTTTTTCTTCTGAGGACTCAGGGGAAAAACATGCAGTATTTGATCTTAACTTACCGGGATATTTCTGACTCTGATCAATATCCTGCTGTTTCAAGCCCTTTGCGACTGAATGATTTAAAACGATCTCATGGGTCCAGATTGTGTGTCACTTTTCAATCCCGTTCGGAGTGGAAATGTCAGTGAGAATGAAAAAAACGGTGTAACCCTCACTCACTGTAAACTTTCTCTTAATATCAGCCTCAGCTCGCCACCGATTGGTCAGATAACGCGCAACGTCACGCTGGAAAATAGTTCTCATATAGCCATGCATGCAACGCATCACGGGGAACTCCATGCGCTCACATTAGCCTCGATTTTCAACAGCTGGCATGATTATTGCCCTACATCTCCAGTGAAGATTTCTGAGCTTCTGTTTTAAATCGGGGTGTTTCCTAAAGAAGACACTTCTGAGCTTTTCTATGACACCAAATGTGAAGCGATTGTATACTTTCAATATATATAAAATACCAAATATAAAATTGTATAATAAATAGTCATATATATTAACGTAACCTAAAAAATATATATAATAATATAATGATAATGAAGAATATGAATAAAATATATTTCAAATGCACTAACCATTGGTTAAAAAACGAAATCTGAAAATAATTTCATCACAAATTTTTCCATATGCACAACAAGGCTTATTGAAAAATAACTATCTTTGTTATACTATCATTTCAGAAATACAGTTTTTGGGTTTTAGTATCCTATATAAATATTTAAAAAGAAAATGTCTAGCCTGTTTTTATAAAAACTTTAAATCGTCAAACGCTATTTTTTTCAGTCTCACTTTTTGATCCCAGGTTGCTATCCGTCTTTTAAGCAAATATTGGCCAAGGTGTCACGAAGATCTTATTTACCCTACTCATTCAGCTGGAAAATCAAATGGTTAACCGGTACAACAGCACGTTTAGTGAATAGCTGGTTGTGTGAGTTTTTTTTTAGTGTCCATCACTGCTGTTCTTTACGACTGTTTCTGGACTATTTTGTCCTTAATGGAGAGCTGTTGCGCATTTAACTACATTTATGCAGTTAAAACATAGAAGCTCACAGTCCCTTAAAATATGAGTAAATGTGAAGAAACATAGTATTTACTCAATATGACGTGTCTACAGATGTCACTGTCCATAGTGCGTAAATGCGCATCAGTTCCGCGGTGTGTCTCTCAGGAAATGAATGGGTTGTGTTGGTTCTTTAGGACGTATGGTGCAGGACAGGTATGGGGCGCACGAGCAGTATTCAGCTCTTTGTTTGACGTAACCACAATTAAGGGCCACAGAAACCGTGCAACGCTGCAGGGTTCTCCAGGTGATCGCTGGAAACCGCACGGCTTATCATGCGGTCAATAAAAGAAGACGCTGCGCTGCGGCCGGACCAGGTGCCTCCGTTCCCTGTTCCACGATGCCCCGCTCTCAAGAACCCGACCAGGCGTGAAGGAAAATCTGTTCAGTCGGCCTCTCAGCATCCTCTCTCTCCCTCTATCTCTCTTACACACATACACACACACACACACACACACACACACACTGCTCTTATAGCAACAACAACAAGTTTTCAAGCAGGCTAGTGTTGTAATTTCAATAATCAGTTTTTGATATGTGAAGCGATAATCTTTGTGATTACATTTACTTCAATGTTTAATATTTTTGTTTACACCTTGTTTTTATAGATGGATAGATAGATAGATAGATAGATAGATAGATAGATAGATAGATAGATAGATATTATTTATTTTTCCTGCGTTAGGAAATGTTTTACTGACAAATCTGAGTGTTAATGAGTCCAAGATATAATGAAATCTTTTTTTAAATCTAGTTTGCGACATTTGTGCCTAGTTCTTGAATACGTTTTAATACATTCTTGAAAACGTTCTCACCGTTTTCTATAAATAAATAATTAAAATAACTCAGAAAACTGCTAATCACGTAAAAAGTAATACTTTCCTTGCACTTTACGTGAGTGTAAACTTCCAAATTATTTAAATTAATTTTTTTAAACATATTTTAAGGTATTTTTATTTCAATTTATTATTTTTAATATCATGAATTTTTGAATCACTAATAATCCAAAGTTAGTTTCAGGTAACCTCCAAAACGCGCCTTTTAAATCAAAATACTGGTAATTCCTAAAATTGTGGATTTCATTTAGATTTATTAGCTTTTTAAAGAATACCTTCTGCTTTTTCAGGTCTCAACCAAAAAGGCAGAGGGGATGGGCACTGTTCTTGCTTTTCAGGCAATGCCTTCTAGTCTGCTATTGGAATAACTTCTCTAATAGCCGGCCTTAACTCGCAACTATCCACGCAGAAGAAGCACGTGAGCATGTCATGGATCTTATGTTTACTGCTGCTTATGCTTGCATACAGTTCAGGATTTGACCAGACATTACAGATATCAGACTATTTTGGGTTATGCATTGTCGTCGTGTTTGAATGTACCAAGCTCTCTTTTCTCTTTCTCTTGGTTTTTCTTGAAAACAAAAGTGCATGAACAATCCCTCACAATTATAAGCACTCATACTATTTCTAATTTTTCTGCACCCATAACGAGATTGAATTTAAACAGATTAAGATTGTATTTAATCGCTATATGAGTGTGTGTATATAGGGGGTCTCTTCAAATCTCTCTAGTTTTCTCTAGGATGCTTATGGCTTTGTGATGTGTATTATGTGTATTTCGGTTTTTCAGCAGTATGTGTGAATCTCTCCCCCTCTTTAATTTAAGCAGCTCACCCCCCCCGGCCCCGGACAGAGACATTAGCAGAATTCCCTCAGGCTGATCGCAATCAACTTATCCGGCGCAGACAGCAAAGCCCTGAATGTTAGAAACTCACTTTACCTCAATGTGACAAGCCTGAGTACGACCCACAATCTGAAAACACGGCCAGAATAAAGATTCAGTGGCAAGCCTCGATTATAGAGTGCGCCCAAATCTCATAAAAATCTAGCATACATGGAAACTCTAATGATAAAAATGCAATATATATTTTTTTAAATAGACAGATTTGTTGTACAGATCTACATCTGTACAGTTGTTTTTGGAGGCGTTTACAAATCATTTCATTTCATCAAACTAACTGATATCTGCAACAATCGTTTAAACGATCCAACAGTTTTTCTTGTTCCAAGATGATGCCATAGTGGATGTTTGAAGTTAGTTCCTCTCAAATCCACACAGGTGTCAGCTGGTGGAGTATATGGACAGAAAACCTTTTATCCTAATTTGAAAAAAGTCTAGCATTCTTAAAGATTAATCGCCATTCGATGGAATAAATTGGCCTTTTTTTTGCATTTCAAAGACTACCAGAAGTAGCGCGCAGGATTGACCCTTGAAATGATATCGACTGTAAACGCAGGATGAAATGATTGACACCTGCCAGCGACGCTGCGCCAGTGATTGATCGTGATGCGCGGTGCTGGCAGCAATCACTCGGTAAATGGAGAGGGGAGACTGTCCGTGGCAAACTGTGAGTCGACAGGGCGAAATGGGAGCTAACGAGGCTGTCAGATGCGCTGACAAAACAAATAAAAGCTCGTCACTCCCCACGATTTAATAACATTTAATGGAAACGTATTGCTCAGTTCAAAATACACACCGAATTAATTCGGGGTCAATTTCTGTGTTAAGGCCTGAGGTAAAAACCTAGGAAATAATATCCATCCATCCATCCATCCATCCATCCATCCATCCATCTATCTATCTATCTATCTATCTATCTATCTATCTATCTATCTATCTATCTATCTATCTATCTATCTATCTATCTATCTATCTATCTATCTATCTATCTATCTATCTGTCTGTCTGTCTGTCGCAAGAACAATATACAGTATATATAGTTCTTGTTCTGCTTCATGGTACTGCTTGTTCTGCTTGGCCCAGGAGTGACTTCCCTCTTTGCATCTTGTTATAGTAACAGGAAACTTGGTTGCTGTGACAATGAGCTAGTCAAAGTCATTCATAAATTAGGTCTATTTTTACCCCCAGCCCACATTTAGAGCTGATATGGCTTTTACGCTGAGTGGTGCTTAACAAATGATGTTACCATGCCAGATTAGAGTTAAACAAAAGAACACTGAACTGTGCGGTGTTGACCTAAGGGATAGCTGGAAATATGTACAGTATTTAGCTAATCAAGTGTTTGAAAACGAACAAGAAAACAATAAGGCAGGGTTGTTAGTGTACAAGTGTGGTTTGGCTTCAAAAATGTCCTCACAAAAAGAAACATGTCAAAAAATGAAATTTGAAGCAGTTCTCAATGTCAGAAAGGTTTAAAATGATGCTTTTGCTTCAAAAATGGTATCATCATCTTAGTGTGGAAATCATTGTGTCTGTGAGAATTCCTATCCTGATGCGTTTCAGCACGATTTTCTGTTTCTATTTGGCGTGCTGTTTATATGCAGAAATTGAAATTGGCGTGCATATTATAAGCAATTTCTTGGCGTGCATATGATACGAAGTTTTGGCGTACATAATACTCACCCACCCCACACCCCTAATCCTAACCTTTGCGTAACATATGCACGCCAAAGTCCATTTCTGCGTATAAATAGAACGTCAAATAGAAACAGAAAATAATTGAGAGAAAAAAAACCCTTCTTAGAATCACTCTCAGACTCAGTAATTAAAATGATTCATAAAGACTTAAGCAACTATGTAGTTTTGTGTATTTTTGCGACTTTAAAACCCCCTACAGTTAAGTGAGTGAAATTCACTGTCGTAAATTTTATACCAATGTCGTAATTACAGCAGATAGCTGTACACGTGCACTGAATTTAAAGGGGTCATATGATGCGATTTCAATTTTTCCTTTCTCTTTGGAGTGTTTCAAGCTGTTGGTGTTTCAGAAAGGCAGGGCATAGAGGAGAAACAATAATGTACAGTATGTGGAAAATAATGTTTTTTTAACCTTAAACCGCATAAACACATTTCATTACACCAAATACACAAAATAATGTTCTTTTTAGCAACATCATATGACCCCTTTAATTCAAAGGGAAAAAGTACATTCAGTTGCTTTAAATAATTCATTTTCCACCTCTGAAATGCAAAGAACTGTATTTTATAGTTATCTCATAAGTAACTTTATTGTAAAACTATATAAGTCTGATAAGTTCCCCAAGATATCGCGCTAAACATATGTGTTTGTTTGTTTACTGTTGCGTTCATATGTTCTTAGCACACATATCACTCCCAGCTGTGTTTATGTTTGTGGCCTAATGCTCTGTAGTCTTACGTGACATAAAACTGACATGAATGGCGAAGGCGAGCTGTAGAGTGCTTCACGAGGGACTCTCAATAATAAACTATTAATGAAATGTGGCAGAGTAAAGGCTTCACAAGAGCGTGCACATTTATAACGTGCCACGTGCCCAAACAGGGTCATTAAGGCGTGTGGCACAGCAGACTCTTGCTTGGGGCAAACGCATGGGCAGAACTAAGGAGCACCTAGCGCGAGGAACTCAACGCAAATCTAAGTGATAGGTTTAAATGGATGTTGTGTTGCTAACCCTTTCCGTGTTTAACAGCTCACACTAAATCAGGCAATAACAACAGCAAACCATCTGGAAAATAGACTTTGGAGAGACCCCACTCATCCCATCTTACATCTTGCCTGACGCATTCTATCATGCAGTGTGTATTTTTAAGATAATCAAACCGATTGCTGGGTGCGAATTCCATCCTTGAATAGGCCAACGAGTGATGCAAAAGGGGGGGAAATAGGCCTCTTCTGCCTTTTGTACTTGTGTTTTAATGGGAATGTGAAGCATCAATGAATCATGATGCAGAATATGTAGATTCTGAAATGCTTTTCTACTTAAATATGATGTGGTGGTGTTGTTTTGGCCTCGATTTGCAGACCGGGGCAGATCCAGACCTGTCATGTCTGTTCGGGAAGCTGTCTCATTCTGAGAATCTCATTTCAGTGAATGTGTGCACTGCTAATATTGCACTAAATGGGTCTGGATATCAGCATTTGTAAGGGAATATAACATGCATTTTCTAGTGTTCTTTTTATGTGTTCTTTTTTTTTTAAATTAAATTTTTTATTTAGTAAGGATGCATTAAAATGGTCAAAAGCAACATTTATACTAATGTTACAAAAGATCTGTATTTCAAGTAAATGCTGTTCTTTTGAACTTTCTACTCATCAAAAAAATCCTAAAAAAATTAAAAAGTATCTCGTTTTAACTTTAATAATAACTGAAAATGTTTCTTATAAAAATAAAATATTTCTTGAGCACCAAATCAGCATATTCAAATGATTTCTGAAGGATCATGTAACACTGAAGACTGGAGTAATGATGCTGAAAATGCACAGAAATAAATGACATTTCAAAATATATATAAAAAAGTTAATTAAAATTGCAATTAAATTTATATAAATAAATTTTAAAAAATTAATAAATGCAGCCTTGCTAAGTGGAAAAGTCTTCTTTCAACATCAAAATAAATGTACTGACTCCAAACTTTTAAATGGTTGTATGGCATTCATACATTCAACATGTTTCATTTTGAGACATTTGCATGTTTTTTTCACCAGTTTTTTTTAAGACAAAAATTAATCCCACTCATTTGCTTTCGAAGATGAGTTTAATGCAAGTTTACAAACCTGATCACCTGATCAACTCTGTTTAGCCTTATTGAAACTCACTAGGACAACAGTGCAATGCAGGCAATGAAGTCCTTCTTGACCTGTCATTGTACCATCTGCTCTTTGCATGAATCACTGCTGTAATTAAAGACCGCAGAGCATAAAAGACCAATAATGGAGAATTACACTCCCTGAACCCCAAGCAGATGCATCAGGCTCTGTCCGCAGATAGAAAGATGGAAGGTTTAGGGGGGCATAACTAAAGTTTGTAGTGGATTAATCCCCCAGTCTTGAGAACCTGAGCACATTTGCCATATCAAGTGGGAGGCTGGGGTGTACGGTGTCTGTCATGACTGCACTAATAGTTCTCTGACATCTATTGATTCGGGGACAGCTGTAAGGCTCTGCCGCAGAAGCCAGTGGCAGTCACAATACATTAGCTTCATGGCATAACACAGCCTCCACAGGTCTATATACTGACCCAAATAATCGTACTTGTGCTTCTTAATGTCTTAACTAAACAGAAAGGTGAAATGTCAAGTGCATTTTTCGATTTTGTAGACTTCTACATTACTAGAAATATTTTAAACCTACATTTTGGTTTTTCATTTGTCAAAACATAAATGAAATGCCACCACAACTCTTAAATCACAAGCAGGTGTGCAGGAATAAATAGAAGCAAATAATCTAACAAAAACAGATGAATCCCCCACATTGTTATAGCTTGCAAATCTTATTTGGAAAAAACAGGCTATAGATGTTGTAGTTAAAATCCAAATTGTCAATTTGTAATACAAATTGTTATTATTCATTACATTTCCTTGTGTTGTTGTGGGGGAAAAAATATTTTAGATGTAATTTTGAACTGCAGTAACTGGTCTCTTGTTATGGTTCAATTAAAGGGGTCATATGATGCTTTTTTTAAAGATCATTATTTTGTGTATTTGGTGTAACAGAATATGTTGACATGCTTTAATGTTCAAAAAACACATTATTTTTCAAATATTGTACATTATTGTAGGTCCTCTATGCCCCGCCTCTCTCAAACTTCGTTTTCTACAAAGTCCCTCATTCAGACAAGCGCAGTCTGCTCTGATTGGCCAGCTGACCCAGTGCATTGTGATTGGCCGAACACTGCAAGCACTCGTCGTAAATGTAACGCCCCTTACCATAATCGCGAGCTTCATCTTTCAAAATAAATGTAAAGACAGAGTCGCTTGACAGACACAGTGATGAAGCTGGTATGTGTATATAGTGAGGTAGATATGTGGGGGCGTGTTAGAATGAGCCGTTTTAGGGGGGCGTGGCAGAGTCTTTACTTTGATAAAGAATATCTCTTTGGTTTTGAGACTTTAGTCTTTGCAACTTCAGGGATCTTATCTATGCACAATCAGCTTGTAACACTCCAAAGAGAAAGGAAAACTTGAAATCACATCGTATGACCCCTTTAATAATAGTGCAATATTTGATTACTCGCATGGTCACCTGAGATGCAACATTATTCACAACATTACTCTTCTGTATACGTGGCCATGTAAGGAGTCACAGGACACCTTATTTAGGTATGAAATCTGCATTTTAAATAAAGCCTAATAGATATAATGTAAAAGGTATTTGAAAGAAAGCAAGCAAGAATGAATGGCTAATGGAGGGTTAACTTGTGGACCAGTTGCAATGCTCTGGTTTGATTTGTTGTCCTGCTTCAGTGGTGTTGTTGGATGATTAATCTCTCAGGACTCTAGGGTGACTAAAGCACAATGTGGGTGTAAAGTTACCCTGAAGCAGTGAGCTGACAGTGACTTTTTTCAGCTTAGTGAGGCTTCATTAGGCTGCATGTGAAGAGGAGAAAAAATGCTTTCAGTTTTGTAAGTTTTTGATTTTGCCTTATATAAGGCATTGTGAAAGTAATAATAAAATAAAAACTTTCAAATGACATGCAATTCAAATTTCTGCAGTAAGTCTGCAGTCTACATTTTATCAAACATAAAATGAGAAAATATAGGTAAGACGGTATTTTAAATGCAACACTCATACACAGCTCTCAAAAAACATACAAACAAAACCTGAAGGTCTTTTGAGTTTTGTGCAGTGAAGTGAGGAATCTCTCAATCTTTTAGTCTTGTTGATGCTGTGTTAGTGCGCCCTCTGGTGATTTCTGGATCAAATCATTTCATATTTTGTGGTTCAGCTGATTTTAGGTAAACGGCATACCTATTTGGACAGCTGTTTTATGCACAGCTAATAGAAAAAGGAGTGAAAACAAATCTTTATAGTGCGATGTGAATTTAAATGCAGAATGTATTGAATTTTGCATGTTAATAAATGTCACATCGTTTTCTTTTAAATGTAATACCTTTATGTCATTTTTACATACTATGAAACCTATATGACAGACTTCTAATAGCATACACTGTATATAATCTCCACGGAAACATGTACCTCATGTTTCTATGCCAGCTGAGTG